TGTGGACGGCCCACGCACACGAGGTGCAGCCCATGAATGGGCACCCATGAACTGGGCGGAGTGTGGACGGCCTGTATGATAGTGTGTATGTATGTCCACGCACAAAGTGCAGCCCATGACATGGGCGCCCATGAAATGGACGGAGTGTGGACGGCCCACGCACGAAGTGCAATGCCCGTTAGGAGGCAGGAGTGTGGGAGTATGAGTGTGATGGCCGAAGGCCGTGATAATTGCCAGATGAGAGGAGATAGCTGGCCCATGGTTGCCCAGCCTCCATGCTAAGTTGTGACACATTGCAATGCACGTGAATGACACCGTTGTTGCTATCAGCGCAGTTTGTCAGCACAATCCTAGCAGAGCAAGTTGCTGTGCTGTTCCAAACGGTCAGCCGTGTGGGTACGTGCATGGGTGCGAGTTGCGTGCCCGCGTGGCGGGTTCTTACATACCTCCATGCGTTGTGTGATGCGCTTGTACCTCTGATAGCTTTTGGGTCAACTGCGCCATGTCTGTGTCGATTGTCCTGATGTAGCGCAAGACGCTGTCGCTTCTCCATCGGCCCATTGCCCTGATTAGCCAGTCCGGGGTACCCGCCATGGCTGCAGTTGTGGCGGCACCGATGCGGAACGAATGACCAGCGTAATCGCGTGAATTGGGTGTTCCCGTGAGTGGGAGAAGCTGTCGGAGCTTTTCTGTCAGTGCCTGCCTGGTCAGCGGTCTCCCAGGGCGGTAGCGGAAGAGTGCGTCAGTGGCGTCAGACGGACAGACTGTAAAATATGCCAGGAGGGCGGCAACCGGGCAAGGTTGTGAAGTGGTACTACCGATTATCTGCATGGCCCTGACGAAGTTGGTCCGTCTTCGATTGCTTGATGTGGAAGCGGATATATGTGCGTCCTTAAGTGACATCCAGAGTCACATCCTGGCGCGTGGCATGAGTGGCAGGGTCAAACCCGGCTGGAGGCGCAGTGAATTCAGCGCATCGAAGAGATCTGAAGAAGGCGAGCACCATTGCCGCCTTGAGCATGCCCTTGTCCTGCTGGTGACGCCGTTGGTCCAGGCTGAGTTGGTTGAGGAGCTTCCGCAGCAAATCAATGGTGATTGGGAGGCGAGTGCGCTGGATTGCCGGGTCAGTCGCCGTCCTCTTGATGCCTCGCATAACACGTGGCGGCAGCAATGCATTCATCGTTGGATCTCGGAATCCGGCTTCGAGATGCATGTTGCGTACTGCGGCCATGTAGACATGAATTGTCTGTGGTTGAACCGATTGTGTGAGGTGTGCTGCGAAGCAGCTGGGCATCGTGTCTGTAGCCGGCATGGGCGTCCATCTCTGCAACGCACAGAATTGCGTAAATTTCCTTTCGCCAGTGGCGTACGTGCGCCGTGTTGTCGGGGCGATTGCCATGGCTGCCAGGTCGGCGACCTCCTGCATCAGTCCAGGAGAGGGAGGCGGATTGCAGTGTCCGGGGCTTGCTGTGCGATGGTGCCAGCTGCTGGAATGCCTGTCAGAGTGATACAGAAATAGGGCTTGGCGCGGCTAAACCTCTTGTTGATATCCCATAAGCGCCGCGTAAATGTTCTGCCTGGTACGACGACGCTCGACGCAAAGGAGAGTTTCCCCAGGAAGTGATCGAGTTTGCGTTGCGTGGTCTGGGTGCAGCGTGACAGCTCGCTGAGGAGCTCGCGGAGGTCCGTCGGTTTGTCGTCTGGGAGACGGGCTTCCATGCGCACCGTGTCCAGCACAATTCCGAGGAGGGCAGTAATGTGTGAAAGCAGACAGTGTTCAGGGGAGTGGAAGTCGGCTTACTTTTTCTCAGTGGGCTTCGAAGTCTTCTCGTGGCTATCTGCAGGGCGCTGCCACCTGAAGCGGGTGGTGCTGGTGCAGGATGTGGCGGCATGTCCTTTGTCTTCACATGAGCTGCAGGCGTAAAGACGGTCGCAGGGTGTGCGGGAACAGGGCCTGCCGCGGTTGAAGTTAAAACAGACTTGGCGGGTGCTGCCCGCCACTGATGGAAAGGGCTGCGCGTGTTGAGCTGCGGCATGTGGGCAGGCAGCGGTCGCGGCTGTTTTGGAGCGTGCATTTGGTGCATGACAGACGGGGAGAGCGGAGTAGGCGAATACTCCACAGCGTCTGATTGATCACGTCCCAGCGCAGTGCCATGCTGGCGGTGTGTTGGCGAAATGCTCGATCATAGTTCAGCACAGGAGACGTCTGCATGACAGACGGGGAGAGCGGAGTAGGCGAATACTCCACAGCGTCTGATTGATCACGTCGCAGCGCAGTGCCATGCTGGCGGTGTGTTGGCGAAATGCTCGATCATAGTTCAGCACAGCAGACGTCTGCATGACAGACGGGGAGAGCGGAGTAGGCGAATACTCCACAGCGTCTGATTGATCACGTCGCAGCGCAGTGCCATGCTGGCGGTGTGTTGGCGAAATGCTCGATCATAGTTCAGCACAGCAGACGTCGTGAACTGTTGGTTCGCAGTACAAAGTATGTGCTGGTAGCAGACGAGCTCATGAGCTCGGTCAGGACGAGCAAGAACGACGATGCCCATGTAGATCGTCCAGGCCTCCAGCCAAGCCGAGAAGTCGTTGATCGCGCGCGTGTGCTTTGCGCTGAGGTTGAGCGAGAGCTGAGCCATGTCGCCGCCAGCTGTAACCAGTTGTATTGGCTCCTGTCCCTGGGAGCTGAAATTTTCCAGCAAGAGTTCCTCAAGTTCCACAAACTCTCCGCGCTGGATTTTTTCAATCGCGCGACGTGGCGGTGTGGGTAGAACCGAGGGCTTGGAGAGAACTGGAGGTCCTGGCAAAGTCGGGGTTCCGATAGAACTGGAAGTTCCGGGCAGGATAGGTCCGGAGCTTGACGCTCGGAGCGTGGGAGCGATCTTTCGGGTGCGGAGCACGCGCGTGGGAGAGATCGGCTTCCAGATCAGACTCAGCACTGTCTGTTCTCCAGGCGTTCCACACGTTCGAGGAGAGAGTGGAGGGCGTTCATCTTCATAACGGCTGAGGAAATGATGTCCGGGGAGAGCAATGAGGGCTCGTCCTGCATAGAAGCGTCGGTGCCTGGAGCGGGGTCAGAAGTCTGAACTAGCTGCTGACGGTGTGTCGGAGGCATCAGGCGCGAAGGCGCGCATGCCGTCAGTCCGCGCGTATGGCGAGGTCGAAGCCCTACCCGAGCGGCGACGGGTAACCTCGACGGCATACCCGCGGCCGCGTCCACGTCTGCTTCCTCGTACAGAGCCTCGTGGCATGGTGAAAGAGAGAGAAAGGGAGTGAGAAAGGAGAAAGGAACAAACCGGTGTTCTTCTCACTACCCAAGCAAAGCAAATATGAAGTAGCAATACGGCCAGCGCGAAGTATGGTGTATGCGTTACGGGTTCAAGCTCCGATGTGTGCTGCAGCCGCATATGGCTGGTTGGCTGGCGAGTTCAGGTGAGTTCCGGCGTACGCATGTTACATGCCACCACAGCGTGCATGTACGTGTTACTTGACATGCATCAATGAATAGCGTGGGATCTGCGGGCTCTTTGGAAGCCGCTGGAGCGCGTGTGAAGTGGTAGCTTGTGCAATGTGTTAACCTACATTACCGCAAGCTCTAATGTGCTATCAAACAAGTAACGTACTTGCGTGATGTCTGCGGCCTTTATCCTATTCATAGCTATATTAAAATTCTTATCTCCTCGCAGATTATTTGAAAACAGTCTATAAATGATTGTGTCCTACCCCGAGGTAACTGACAATGGCCGCAAACATCCAGTGAATCCAAAGAATCTATAATGAAAACACTTTCTCTGTTTAGGAATGGGTTTGCTCCCACACTGGAGCTCGCGGTATTCCGCCGACGACTTGACACTTGACTGACTCACGACTGCCATCCAGAGAACACAAGCAGTCCATCGAACCTTCGACTCGGCAAAACTGCAAGAAAGCACCACTCCTTGCTCAATACACGGTGTTTCGGGGATTTCACCCCTCATCAGTTGAGCTTGAGTAGGCTGAGGAAGATTGTGCCTGAAGAGCACCACTTATAGTGCTGTCCAGGCACAAACATCACCAGAGATACAAACTTACAGAGACACTCCGTTTCCAGCGCGACAAACACCTCGTGAACACCAGATAGCAGCGTGAGTCAGTTATCGCTCCTGGATGGTGAGAACAGACGTAGAGGGCCCTCGGTCTCAACTGATGAAGGGTGAATTACCCGAAACACCGTGTATTGAGCAGGGAGTGGTGCTTTCTTGCAGGTTTGCCAAGTCGAAGGTTCGATGGACTTCTCGTGTTCTCTGGATGGCAGTGGTGAGTCAGTCAAGTCGTCGGCTGATTAGCGCGAGCTCCATTGTGGGACCAAACCCATTCCTAAACAAAATCACCGCCGAAGTCGCAACCTCTATTTCGTACTTTCTCTGTCTTCTTATTGTTTGGTTTTATGATAAGATGAACAGGTTAAACTCGGCTGGAGAGCCAAGGATTAAAATTAAAAAAGAGAACTCTAAGTTTACAAGGTATACGTTTTGTCCAACACTAATGGTATAAGCAGAATACTGTTGAGTCAAAAACGTGCCACAATTAGCACACAAACTGGCTGATGAGATCCTGACATTCAACGACCTGATGCTTAGCTGCATCACGTCTAGAATGCGCAGGCCAGCAGCATTCCAACTTGGAAGGTTCTAAGTTATGAAGTACCGTAAGACAGGGGAAGGTGAGCACACTCTAGACGAAAACAAGCTAAACACCACAGCGAACTAAGAATGTTAGCTATGTCAAGATGGTGACTCGACAGCATCCTGCTTATAACCGTTAGCAAGATTACATATCCAAGAGTGTGAAGCTCCTATCTCGAGCTGCGATGGGTTCACCCACGGCGGAATTTTTTATGGTGTCATTCTTTGGCTGAAGTATGATCAAGTGCGTATGCTTTCCCACACATTTTTTGTAGATACGGTGAGAGTTCACCAGGTTCAGGACACATCGATCTATCGTCCGTTGTTCTGCTTCGACTACCATAGCTGTGATGTACAAATTCTTTGTACTTTGATCTCTGACTACGCATGATGGCATCAGCGAGCCAAACAGCTGTCAAAGACTGATATCATAAAAAAAATTCCACCGTGGGCTGGGGGACCGTCGAGTTGCACACTCTTGGTTGTGTACTCTTGCCGTTAGTGTTGGACAAAACAGATAATTTGTAAACTTATGGTCCTCTTTTTCTAAGATGAACAGGTTTCATATTTTTGCCGCATAAACAAATCATGTGGGGGGCATGCATCTGACAATGAGTTCCAGAGTTGCTTGTTGGTGGCAAGGTTGAGGCATTCCTGAATCGGCGCTTTCAGAGGCTTGAGGTCTTCTTTGATGTTGTCGACCTATCTCTCGTGGGGTCGTCTAAGGGGGGAGGGGGGGGGGGGGGGCTTGATGTCCGAAGTATAAAATGTATAGGTAGTAACTTAAATAAAATGGGGTTTGTATTTTTCTGTAATTTTCGACATCATTAATAAAAGAATTCTCATCCAGCGCATGCGCCAAAAGTGAATTGCAACTAAATAGAGCGGTTGTCAGTTGACAACCCTCATTGTCATTCTCAACTCATTCTCCACTCATTCTCAACTCATTCTCAACTCATTCTCAACTCATTCTCAACTCATTCTGCACCTCCCGTAGTGGCTAGTAGTGGTACTACAGTCGTGTACATGCAGCCCCAAATGTACTACATGTCTATGCAGCCCCTAATGTAGTACATGTCTATGCAGCCCATGATGTAATAGTACATGTCTATGCAGCCCCTAATGTAGTACATGTCTATGCAGCCCATGATGTACTACATGTCTATGCAGCCCATGATGTAATAGTACATGTCTATGCAGCCCCTAATGTACTACATGTCTATGCAGCCCATGATGTAATAGTACATGTCTATGCAGCCCATGATGTAATAGTACATGTCTATGCAGCCCATGATGTAATAGTACATGTCTATGCAGCCCCTAATGTAGTACATGTCTATGCAGCCCCTAATGTACTACATGTCTATGCAGCCCATGATGTAATAGTACATGTCTATGCAGCCCATGATGTAATAGTACATGTCTATGCAGCCCCTAATGTAGTACATGTCTATGCAGCCCCTAATGTACTACATGTCTATGCAGCCCATGATGTAATAGTACATGTCTATGCAGCCCATGATGTAATAGTACATGTCTATGCAGCCCATGATGTAATAGTACATGTCTATGCAGCCCATGATGTAATAGTACATGTCTATGCAGCCCCTAATGTAGTACATGTCTATGCAGCCCATGATGTAATAGTACATGTCTATGCAGCCCATGATGTAATAGTACATGTCTATGCAGCCCATGATGTAATAGTACATGTCTATGCAGCCCATGATGTAATAGTACATGTCTATGCAGCCCATGATGCAATAGTACATGTCTATGCAGCCCCTAATGTAGTACATGTCTATGCAGCCCATGATGTAATAGTACATGTCTATGCAGCCCATGATGTAATAGTACATGTCTATGCAGCCCATGATGTAATAGTACATGTCTATGCAGCCCATGATGTAATAGTACATGTCTATGCAGCCCATGATGTAACAGTACATGTCTATGCAGCCCATGATGTAATAGTACATGTCTATGCAGCCCATGATGCAATAGTACATGTCTATGCAGCCCATGATGTAATAGTACATGTCTATGTAGCCCATGATGTAATACTACTTCTGATTAGTACATGTCTATGCAGCCCATGATGTAATAGTACATGTCTATGCAGCTCATAATGTACCCTAAAGCTAACAGAGTATTGGCCGGATTTGTTTGTTTGGCGACAACTGCGGAAGATGTTGTCAGTCTCCTCCCTGTGTTTTCCCAGATAACCCATTCAACCACAGCAAGTTTGTGTCTAATTATCAACCCTGGATCTACGACTTGGACGGATCTGGACTGCGAGTGGCCCTTCAGCAGCGGGGAGCTTTTACCGCTGCCAATGTGAAAGAACTGCAACGCCGTCAAGGAAAGGCAGAGCATAACCAAGAAATGCTCAACATTCTAACGCCAGGTGGTGTTAAGGCTTACACAGTCCTGTGTGATGCAATTGAAAGCATGAGTTCCTTTTACAAATCAGATTGCGACGGCATGAGGCAGCTTCTAGCTGAGCCAGCACCCGGTATGTCTCTTGGGGTCTTGTAATCTTCGAATTTCAGAGTCCATTCACTTGGAACAGCAAGCACTTAACCGCTGTTGTCATCTCCTGAGGTTTGGTGATGAAAGGGATCATACAATTTAAACGGCGTATGTGCTTTTAGCTGCCCTAGCACTGTGTGTGGGCAGATGGCTTCTCTAGTACAACGCATGTACATAGTGGCCTCCCTACCGCCACCGGTATAGATAATATAATAGAACAGAGAGGTTCCAGGCTGGCCAATACAGTGCTAAATGGCAAAAGGCAGAGCTGGTTCAAAGATGAATAAGAAGTTAAAATGAACTCGGATGGAGAGCCAAGGATTATTTATAAAAAGTAAAAAGAACCAAGGAGCTACAAGTTACACTATAACGTCCACTAGCACCACCAGTTACTAAACAATCAGCTCATGTTAGTTGTAGAAAGTCAGTACCGTCGGTCAGAGTCGTGCAATGTTATCGCATGAGCTGATTGTTTAGTAACTGGTGGTGCTAGTGGATATTATAGTGTAACTTGTATTTCCTTGGTCTTATTGCTTTTTATAAAGAAGATTAAAGAATATTGTTTTTACCCCATTCTTACACACACTAAGCCAGTATTAGAAAACAGTTCTCTGTTCTTTATTCATTGCTTAGTGCGTGAAACTCAGAACAATTTGTCATCCTTTATTCTTGTCAGCACAGATACCATGTCACCTCCTACCCTCCGCAACAGTATTCTTAGAGGTAGTGGCTTGGAAGAAAGGTTCTAATTCTGAACATGCACAGGCTTGCATGCACAACTGGCTAGTGAGACAGTGACATGCCGCAAGGCTTCAGAGAACTACACTATTTCCAAGTTGATTTTTACAGTATTTCCAGGTCCAGATTGAACATGTAAAGCTGGTGTTTGTGCAGGTATCGAAATTCCTCGGTTATAGGTCGCACCTTTTGACACTTACCATTTCGTGCAAAGAAGTGCGCGCCTTACAATCGAGTGGGACACCCTGCATTACATGAGGATATATTAAAACAAGATGGCTAAAACCGAGAAGCTGCTGCAGTGTGACTTGTAATCGAGTGCGACTTAAATTAGGGGAATTGCAATACTACCGCATGTGTTCATTTATATTTTGTGAAACTGCATGCACTATCTCCTGCTATCCCAGACGCAACAACGCTACCTCCATCCACTGGAGTTGCAGCCTCGCCGCCTACCTCTGTTCACGCTCCTGCACCAGTAACGGCTACGCCAGCAGAAGCGCCAGCAGCAGCAACAGTAGCAGCAGCAGCGGCAGTGCCGGGAACATTGGTCCCCACAGCTAATCTTCACGTGGACAGTCCACTAGGCGAGATGATAGGGTAAGGCCACTTCAAACTCTACATATTAGACTTGTGCTGAACAAGTTACTGGAATTGTATATTTAGATATGTAAAAGTAATAGGAGACATGAACACTAAATTACTAATTTTACTGGTTTGCTAACTTTGGCGAAAGTCCGTTGCGTGTTCATACATGTTCAAATTCAATTATTTTTCATAAGTTTGAACGAGTTGAAAAACAGAAAGGTTTGAAGAAAGAATCGTCCCCAGCAGCACTCAAACCAGAAACCCTAGGCTACGGGCAGTGATGCTTTATTGTCAGTATTACACCTTCCAGTGGCTAAAGATGAATCAGTGCCAATATAGATGAGGAGGGAGCGTTTGCCAGCCATGGCGTCGAAAGAAAGTATAAGAAGTGTGGTGGTGCACCAATACCATGGTAAATATTAAAGGAAAGGGAGTTATGAGTACATGTAAGCCATGGTTTAGTTAGCTTCCCAACAGCTACCGCTGAGAAAACAAAATTTCTTTATAACGAGAGACCTAGGAAGCTCAGGGCCCTACACCACGCTTTTTTGCCTAGCTCATCATGTAGGTTATTAGAACTGAGAAAACGTTCTCTTTGGCCCCAACTTTGTTGCGGTCTTATAGTAGCGACTTCAGTCCAAACTTCTACAATCTGAATTAGGGCCAACAAATTACAGGACTGGAAAGAGAAACCTCTGCAGAACACATACAGAAAATGTCATGGGTATATCTTATCCCAAACCGGAGATATCAGGCCCCAAAGTTGGTATGCAATTGTCAGAGGCCATGTATGCAATTGTATGCAGAGCAATGGCACGAAAGTGGGTTTCCCGGACCTCGTGAATATCAAGCATACACACTGAATGTATGCGCGATATGCGGTTTTTGGTGTTCTTGGAGGGTGACGGAGAAACTGCCGTACATGTAGATGTTGCTCTGCTTCGATGAATTGAAATAATCACCTCCTCACTGCTCAAGCACCTCCAGAATCTTGACGTGAAGAACATAGTCATTAGCGGATTTACAAGCCAAAGGTCTGCTCGCTCCGTCATGCAGAGCCCGTCATATAGTGCACCCCATAGCCGACTTCAGCCGCTGCGCACAAATTCTTCAAACTGCTAAAAACGGCTACGGAGGAGAACCTTACCATGAACCCATCTAAACTAATTCGAGGGCTCTGGACACGATGGTGACTCGGTCATTGACGGGCAAGGTAGCTGAGAAAGCCTGAGATGCCGAAAGTTTGCTTCGAACACTAAAAATACGGAGCGATCTATCCAAAAGTCGATGGCTCATGACATGCGACACACTGTTGGAAAGCTATTCATGTGTGCTTGCCCATCATGTAAACATCGAAGGCGATGGGAACATGAATAACGCGTAGGCAGGCGTAGAACGCCGAGAGAAAAATTGTTCCGTGCACTTCACCATACATTACCATACATTCGTGCGACGAAGGATTTCTGCCTTTTGGTCAAGTGATTGAAGTCGCTACTTATAGTATTTTACGTCGACCATGACGGCTGCAATCTCCACCCATACCACAACGAACTGATTGGCTACAATATTGTATTGCGAATAGTTTCCATCTGTTCGAGTAACATGCATGATGACCTAGGCAAAAAAGCATAGCGTAGAGCCCTGAGCGAAAGAAATAAACTTTTTCTTTGCATTCGAGGGTAATACAACACCGTCTACCACCTTGATGACCTAGGCAAAAAAGCATAGGGATGTTATAAATGTTTCATTCTCCTATTTTTTTTTTCAAGACATAACCTGGGAATCGAAGCCGCACTAACGCCCTGCATGCATTCCCCCGATACACTTCGCATACATACTCATTCTTACAAGTTGCTTCACGTTATGATCTTGCATTTTACAGTCCTATTTGAATATTGTGGCCAGGTGTCTTTGATGGTACGGTACGGGATAGCGCCAGGCATGCCGATGGCACAAACAAACACGGAATTAAAGCTGTGTGGACCCTGGCTAGCGCCATACGTTACTGAAGTAACGTCTTTTGCATAGCCAGTTGAATAATTATTATAATTATACCGTATATTTTCTATTATAAGCACAGTTCTCCATTACTAGCACAGTCTATAATACTAGCACACTGTGAGCACCTTTCGAAACATTATAAGCACAGTCTCTATTATTAGCACGGTCTTGGTGGAAATCAATGCTGCATGCATGATATTCCGCATGTATTTCTTCTTGCTCTGTATGGATGTATTGGTTGAAAAATATAAGCACGGTCTCCAATATAAGCGCGGTCTCCAACGTAAGCACGGGGTAGAGGGGTGTTGAAACAATATAAGCACGGCGCTTATAATAGAGAATATACGGTACTGAATTAGGAGATGGCTCAGGAACATCTGTATTTTGGTTTCTGATCAAGTTGTGTTTTCATCCTGCTCCCCCATGCAGTTCGAAACGTGTTGCAGATATCGAAGACCAAAGAGGATTTGTTCAGGTTCTTGAACCTTTTTTCAGCAAAAATGAGAAAAGTAAGTGATGATTTAGGCATCATGTACATGTATTATTAAGCCGCATCAAACGAGTCTTTGGTTTCGGGTAATATGGCACTAAAATACTGGTCGGTCGGTTGGCTTTCCTTTTTTTCTGATATGTTTTATGCATGCCAGATCTGGTGTGCCCACAGCCCAGATACAATAAAACCAATACAATGCCACATGCCACATGTATGTACGTGTCATGTACATAGCATTCCCAATCAACAAGACAATAGCTCGATCAGACCGCCAGGAACAGCCACACTGGTCATACTCAGACACCGAGCAAAGCAGAGCTCCGATACGTTGCGCATCAACACACCGTTAAGCGATTGGCCTTGCGAAGTAAAATAAAAAATAGATCGAGAGTTGCACATATAATAACCGGGTTTCGCTGCTCTTTTCGACTATTTCCGACAGCAATGTATATTCATTGCACCATAAGAGCGCTTGGAGAGTCCTCTTCGACCTGCAATATTCTTTTACAAGAGGACTACTAACAGTGGACTTGATACAGTGTTTATGATCAACAAAAATACCATCAACCGACTTCTTTACGTATCTAATATTGACTGAGTACGAGGTCAATATAGGAAATAAAAGTTGAGTAAAAGACCGAGGCGAAGCCGAGGTTTTTTACGAGGCTTTTATTTCCTATACTAACCAAGTACGAAGTCAATATTAGATTTATCACGACAAACCGTCCGTATTTCAAATTCCAGAACGGTATCTCATGAATCCCGGTTTTATGATTGCACAACCGTTGCACCACCACCTACGTATGCAGTGACAATTAATGCTGCACTAGGCACCGTTTAACTGCGCAACCCCTAAGCAGTCAAATGTAAGCAGTCAATAGCCCTAAGGAGTGAAATATGCAGGAATATTTGACTGCTTAGGTATAGCGAAAATCAATGGGAGTCAATACTAAGAGAATGATAACATAGCGTAAGGTTAAAATCTTCTACCAGTTTGATTTTGAAGGAAGAAAGGAACCTTTAGTCGTGCACGTAGGCAAAGAAGGATATGAAATCTGTACTGTATACTGGAGATTGTGGTTTAAAAGGCATTCTCCTACTTTATGTGTGCTGTGAAATTTAACAGTAAATGCCGGGCGGAATGCAGTCAAACGGGTCAACGCGAGATCGATGAACAATTCTTGTAACGTGCTGGACAACTTTCACGATCGCCACAAAGGTCACATCGATGGCATTTCGGCGGGTTACGGGCAAACCAACATGATGTGCATCATTTACTACCTGATGGTCAACCAGCGGGAGATGACCATACACGACTTGTATGTGTTGCTCAAAGAATGCGCAAGGCAGAACACGACCTTAATAGAAACAGCCTTGAGGTAAGGTGTTTTTGACCGACTCTATTCCTTTCTACTTGTTTGTACTAGTACAGCACACTGGTACACTGGATATTTTTGGTGGTGTCACCTTTTACGTATTCGTCGACGGTATGGTAGCGCGGAAATGTTGCCAAACTAGTTTTCAAGATCCGAAAATGCATTTTGCACACTGTGTAGCACGGCATGATTGAATATTAGGTCGTGTTTTAGAAACTCACCTGTGCAGACGTTACCGAAAATATATCTCAACCGAAGTTTTCCGGTTTTACTGTGGTCTTTGTTTGTTCACTGCAACAAGTTCCTGACTTCATGTTTGTCTTATTTGGCTCATTTACTAGCCTTCACGCCACTCTCCTCAAGTTTATAGATATGCCTTTTCACAATTTATTTTATTTCCTGTATTATTTTATTGATGTATTTATTTTCTGTATCGCACAGCATTTTTTTAAAGACAGCCAATTAAATTTAGGAGAGGGTATGACCAACCACAGAAAAAGCGGAAAAGAAAGAAGATGAAAAGCATGTACACAAAAGGGGGAAGGAATTAGCAACTTACAAAGCAATGTGATGCCCAGCGAGCTATGCAGCGGAATAGGTGACTGTGATTTTTGTCCCCAAGTCATGTGCATTTGCATACACCGGCAATGGGTCCAGGCCTTAACGCAATCCTTGCTGCTAGTGCGTTTCACGATCTCATTGAGCGCCAAATTATTGGTATTTACTCCACCTGCATGTGTGCATCTGTGTGTGTGTGTGTGTGTGTGTGTGTGTGTGTGTGTGTGTGCGTGTGTGTGTGTGTGTGTGTGTGTGTGTATGTGTGTGTGTATATGTGTGTGCGTGTGTGTTTGTGTGTGTGTGTGTGTGTGTGTGTGTATGTATGTGTATGTGTGTGTGTGTGTGTGTGTTGTTTGCAATTATTTCCATTCAGGGAGGCTGCATACAACTGAGCGGTGTTATGTCGTTGCTATAACAACCGCCTAGGACCAGCACTGGAGAAGCATGTGTAGCGTATTGCCTTGCTGTCTTCTGTTGCATGCTCTTCAGGGCATGCTAAATTGCTTCATACCGGCATCTGCCGGCCTAAGTCTATTATCCGAATCCTTTTCTCTAGGTTAAGACTCCTTGCCGGTATGCAGAGCATTCCGCCATCGTGTTAAATTATGACGTGCATTTTGCTGTACATATTTGGGGCGCTCTCTTCCTCCTTTGCCAGCCATATTATATCCCGCTGTTTTCTGATGATCGCTTTAATAGTGCGTGAAACTCAGAGTTAAAACAGTTTCTCTGTCCTGTTAATGTTTGAGCCAGCTCTGCCTCTCGGTATTGAGCACTCTCTTGGAAAGCCTGGAACCTCTCTGTTTTTACATCGGCTTTACTATAACTTTATGTCCTCATTCGGGCGTGTACACTCATACCTAGGTTATCTGGAACCCGAAGTTACGGGCACTTCGGTCTACTGGGCACTCTTTGGCGCGTTTCAGTGAAAATATTAGAGAGGTTGCGCACAACGAAAGTTCGTAAGATTTCGACAGTCCGGGTTCGCGAAACGAAAGTTGTTAGGAAGATCCGTCCAAACGCGACCGAAACCGAGCAGATCTACGAAAATATTTTTCGTCACTAGGAGTACTAAAATACTGCTATTTCACAACTACCTTGTCTTGATTCTTCGCACCCGCGCGGCCGTCGCGTTAACCCACTACGAAAAAGTTCACACGTTGTGCGCAACCTCACGTTTTACGAATATTTGTTAGCTTTTTTCGTTTAAACATTCCGTTACGGTGCTAAGAATTTTCGTTGTGCGCAACCTCTCCATTACTGCTCTTCTTCTGCCACTTGTTGTGTGAACTGTGATTGCACATGCCATATCAATGGCGTACCACCTCCCCCCTTAAAATTGTTGTGATTCGGATTCGGAGTTTTGGACATTTCGAAGTTACAGGCAGTGCCCGGTTCGAGAGCGCCCGGGTAAACGATGTCTGAGTGTATTTGCATTGCGTGATCTGTCCCACTACTAGTACCAGTGCATCCCGGATGCGTAGGTCGTGCACGACTGCAGCCTCTCTGTGTACGTCGTGTTAAACACACCCCGCACACCACAGGGAACTACCTACAGTCCATTTCAAAAAGATTTACAATAAGGTTTTGATCTTAAAAAGTATGAAGATAAGGGAAATTTGGACAACAAAGTACATAGAATGGTTTGTTAGGACACGGCAAATTGTTCTATGAAGGTTTCGGAACAATTGGACTAGCCGTTAAGGAGTTAGAATTTCGGCCAGGTTTCCGGCCTTTCCCCATGGTTTACAATTTGCCCTGGAAGCCAGTATCGATTTTTTTATCAAAACCCACGTGGACAGGAGACTGCGGTCTTGAACATTATCTTTTCGAATTGTCACATGTTGCACGTTGATACTAGGGAGGTTTCGCTCTACGGAATTACGTATGAAAATAACGTAGGAACTGCACGGAATTTTCATACGTAAAAATCAGAGTTGTTGGGTTTCGCTCTACGTGATTTCTCCACAACTGCTAAACATGCGTTGTTGCTTTGGAGACGTGTTGGCTGTGGTGTTTCGCTAGGCTTCTGCCGCACGCAGTCCCGTAATCGGCCGTATACCAAGCTCACATTCGACGGAATCACTCACAACACAAAAGACTTTATGGTTGATTTGAAGTAGAGCGCCATGTCACGAACCGACTATTTCGTTCCAAGAAACTACATGTCCAAAGAAAAACTCTCTGGAAACGAAAAGCAGCGCAGCCAAACAAAGGTACAGCTAAAAACCTCATGCCGCACGCACAAGAACACAACAACCAAAAAGGCTACACGGTGCCAAGGCTGGCTCAGCGAAACCGACCGCAGCGGAACCTAAATGGTAGCCCGCTGTACAAGTTCGATATTACAGCCGCATCAAGGTGCCCCCAAGAGGAGCACATGAAGACAGTAAGATGCCAGGAGATAAAGGTCAAATCACAGAGAACAGACATCATGACCGCAATGGCAATCAGGAAGAGAAAGCAGATCGCAACTGAACATGATATGAACGTGTAGACTGAACTCCTAGGCATTCTCGCCACGCCATTCTCCCCTTCCTGATGTGTCTACGGAGAGATACATCACCAAAACTCGAAGCGAAAAAATGAAAGAAAAACAGAAAAGATTGCCTGAGTTGCTAGTGCTCAAGCAAACAGAAACAAAAACAAAAAATCAAAAAAGATGATAGGCAACGGAACAAGAAATGAAAACAACATGAAAGAACATGTGCGAAGCAAGAGAGAAGCAAGAGAGAAGCAAGAGAGTGAAAAGACATGACCATACGTTAATGGCGATGGTCCAATGCTGTTGCTACTCAGTAACTCACTGATATGCTTCCAGCGGGCAGATCTTGCTTTGTTGTATACTTTATTTATAGTGGAAATCAAAACAGGCAAAATGCCTAATAACATTGGACCCACTGTGAATAACATGTTAAAGGATATTGTGGAAAAGTAGATACAACAGAAAAAGAGAAAGGAAAAAAAAACAAAAAAAAAACACGGAAGGTTGGTTGCAACGAACAGATATCAATCCAGTGAGCATTGGAAAACCTATGTCGCTGATAATATATACTGCAAGGCTTGAGATTTAAAATCCAAATACCTATTTGAACATTTTGCTGCTGGTGGCAATCTATTCCACATAATGGCTCCAGCGTGCGTTAGGCGCTTAGCAGAACGAGCAGTGCTAGCAGGTGGGACCACAAGCAAGTTGAGGGCACGACAGCAAAAAAGGACTCAAACAGGGTGCTACATGCATCATGCAAACATCGCCAGATGAAACAAAACATATTCAAGTGCACAGAAACCTGTAGATCACATACATGCATTCGATTTAGCAGGGGAGCAGTACTGGTCCACGGTGGCGACTTGCAGACTGCCCGAGCGGCACGTTTGAACAGCCTATGTAGCCGTTGTTCCTGGGCAACTGTCAAATACGGGTAGTAACTAATAGAAGCATACAAAAATTCAGGCAAAATGATAGATCTGAAGTAGGTGAGTCGGCATGGATATGGCAGCGAGGAAGCATGTCGCAGCAGGACAGCAATTTTGCCGGCAACACGACGAGCAACATGGTCCACCATTGTGGTCCAACTCATGTCCGAGTCAAAATGCAGGCCAAGGTACTTGGCAGATGTGACTACTGGTAGGACTTGTGAATTGCATACAACATTGATGTCGAGGGCTGCAGCTCTATGGTGTGGTATGGCGAGTATCTGCGTCTTGGTCTCGTTAAGGATCAATCCACGTTTCTTCAACCAAGTGGCCAGGTACTGAACTGCTGCAGTGAGGCGCTGGGAGACAACTTCTGGCTGTGGACTGCTCGCACGCAGCGAGATGTCATCTGCTTGTTGGGCGACGTAGCGTGGTGTTCTTCATCTTTACGTCCACGTCTCGTACCAGCCCGTCACGTCCTGGGTGAACATCGACAACTCGTCCCAGCTGCCACTGACCACGTGGTGTGTCTTTGGCGAGTAGGATAACGACATCACCGACTTGCACGTTGTTGTAGGGTTTCTTCCATTTGGCACGACCACTCAGCATGGGCAGCCATTCTTGCATCCATCTTGCCCAGAAATGTCTGACCAGCTCCTGGACTCGTCTCCAGCGTCTCCTCAGGCTAGCTGCTGGGTCATTACCGGGTACATCAATACTGTGGCTCGCGTCGCCAAGCAGCAAGTCACTTGGAGAGATAGGAGTACAGTCTCTGGCATCTGAAGATACCGTTGTCAAGGGCCGACTGCTGATCAGGTGTTCTGCTCCAATCGTTGCCGTCACTAACTCCTCATCTGTGATGTCACCTGACTTCAGAATGGCGTACAGTGCTCGTTTGGCAGCCTTCACCATAACCTCAAATGGTCCTCCGAAGTGCGGTGCTGCGGGAGGGTTGAAGTGCCACTGAATCCGTTGACCGTTGGTTGCCTTGATGATCTTCTTCTCGTCCAGTTCACTTCTCAACTCGCGTAGCTCGGTTAATGCACCAACAAAGTTCGTGCCATTGTCAGTGAGCACCTCGTGTGGGGCGCCACGTCGTTCGACCATTCGGAAGAAGCAGTTCAGAAAGCTTCCAGTATCAAGACCATACGCTACTTCGATGTGGATAGCGCGTGTGGCAAGACAGGTGAAGATGCACAGCCATCTCTTTGCCTGCGCTCGGCGTCCCTGCTTGGTGTACATCGGTCCTGCAAAGTCGATTCCAACCCTTTCAAACGCACGGGTGCCGGGTTCAATCCGGAGTGTTGGCTGTGGCGCCATGAGCTGCTTAGCAGGCTTGGCCTTTCGGCGTTGGCATTCAGGACATTGACGATCCACTTCCTTGACTGCTTCACGTGCACCGACAACCCAGAACCGCTTTACTAACTCGTTCAGAACTTGATTGTTGCCGAGTGCGTGATGACCGTTGCCATGGATCCGCGTGATCACAAGCTTAGTTGTTGGATGCGTCCTGGGAAGGATGATCGGCGAGATCGTGTCAGAGGGCAAGACGTCTGCGTACTGAAGTCGACTCCTTGCACGCAGCAAGCCACTGTCATCTAACTGTGGATGGAGTACTGCAATCTTGCTCTGGGAACTCACAGGTTGTCCCTTCTTGATGGCCTTGATCTCATCTCGGAACTCAGACTCTTGCGCTGATTTCACCAGCATCAACTCGGACTCACTCAATTCGTCCACTGTCAATTCACCCAGTTCGCGGCGTTCGTGTGGCGCTCGAGCGTTGTGAAGAAATCTCATCACCCACGCTTGCACACGAATCAATCGCTCCAAATCAGAGTATCGCTGCGGTTCCAGTCGCCAAACACTGGGCTCCGTTGCGCCTGTGCCCTCATCATCAGTACCCGTCTCAGTGCTGCTCATCAGAACGGTCTCCTTTCATGGACTTAGTTTCCTTTGCTTGGGCTGTAGGTAACTGTCGTACTGGCCAGTCATCAGACGGCTTGGCCATGAAGCTAGGACCGGTCCACCACATACTGTCCGGTGTGAGCGATGTTGGGGCGCATCCTCTCGACACAATATCGGCCGGGTTCTCTGCCGTAGGGACATACCGCCATTGATCTGGGCTGCTTGCCTGGTGGATCGTGCTCACTCTGTTGGCAACGAACGTCTTGAACAAGCGACTCCGACCACGGATCAACCAGATCACGTCCATACTGTCAGTCCAGTAGATGATGTTCTGCGGGTTGATCTGCAACACCTTGGCTACTTCGTTGGCCATTTCGACTCCAAGCACAGCAGCCATCAATTCGAGCCGTGGGATGCTTGTGGCGGTAGTTGGCGAAACTCGTGACTTAGCAGACACGAATACGGTGCTGATGTCGCCGGAGGCGTAGCGGATACGTTGGTAGATGACGGCACCATACGCTAACTCTGATGCGTCGCCAAATACGTGAAGCTCGACATCTTGCGGTGTAGCGCCTGCAATGGCCTGCAAGAAGCGTAGAACTTGAATTGAGCTCAGTGCAAGGAGATCCTGGAACCACTGTCTACAACGTGAGCTCAGTTCGACGGGAAGCACTTCGTCCAAAGTGCACCGCTAGCCCAGATCTCTTGGCACGGATGATCACCGGTGCCAGAAATCCTAGCGGGTCGAAGATCGTCGCGATCTTTCGGAGGATGTTCCGCTTCGTCATCATCATATCGTCAGGTGGTATGACAGCCTGAAAGCTGAACATGTCGCTGTCGCTCAACCAACTGATACTTAGAGTCTTAATCTGGGATGGGCCGTCTCCGTTCAGGCTGAGTTGCGTTGCCTGATCTTCTCTGGGTATGTGACCCAACAGCTCCGGAGCATTCGACAGCCACTTCCTCACTGCCATGCCTGCTCCCTTCCATGCTGCTGTCACACTCTTGTACAGGGCCACACCCTCGGCAATCGTAGAGACTGAGTCCATACTGTCGTCTATGTAAGCTGTACAATCATCTCGGCTGCACGGACGAATTCTGGATCTAGTGTCTTGTATATTGTGTAGATATTCTGCGCCTCCTAGCAGGAGTACGTATGAAAAGAGAGTGTAAACCAGGGAGTATTGTACTACTCCCTGGTGTAAACTGGGATGAGGACCCAAGGAGAATATTAAACTTTTAAAAATATGGAAAACAGTGGGCTAGAGCGTTAAGCGGGATTCACAGAAGCTTTTTTGCGATGCGACACGCGATGCGACAGGCGTGAAACCGGGAAAACCCCAAATCGCAGCCACACGCAACTGCCGCAACTGGGCCATCGCAGGCCATCGCAGAAATTGAGCTTGGCTCAACTTTTGCGATGCGATGCGATGCGACAAGCGATTTGGGGTACGATTTTGACCTTTTCTACAGCAAAGTTGTACAAAGTTGCAAGATATTTAAACACACGGCCAGGAGACAACAATTTTATAACCGCAATCAATAAAACTAGCTGAACCGACATTTGTGTACTTTATTCATGCAATGTAAAAAACGGTGGAGACGATGTGCAATAAAACGATGAAAATATGAAGAAATGGTGTAGGGAAAAAATATGGATTCAAAAAAGTTTTCGTACAACACTCATCAGGAATCGTCGTTGTACTAAAGGACACTGAAACAAAAATTGAACTATTATAGAAAATCTAAGTTAGAGAAATAACACTAAGAGCAACAACAGTGAAATTTACAAATGTGAATTTTAACAATCAAAGCGAGAACTGAACAAAGGAGAAAGGAAGGAAAGACAACGTGATAACACATAACAGCAGTACATTACACCTAGAACATTAACGGCCAAGCTTGGCCGCACTAAACACGACGTTACTTGAACAATTTCAACCCAATTATACTATCTTTCTGTACACACAAATTAGGCTTGTACAGACGTTGATAGATAGCTTCCAACACTTTTAACTGTAGTCCATAACCATGACGACCACGGCACAATACAGTGAACGAAGAGTCGGAATACGCACCGCAACAATCAGGACTAGCCAGCAGATGATTGTACACTGAAGACTTGCTACCACGAAACCTACGCACAACACTAACACTCTCAATGGCACTCTCACCATCACTCCCATCACTGCTCTCCGACTCACTGCTCCCTCCGCCGTCCGTTCCATCCTCCGCTTCCTCTGTTCTCTCTCTGTCTCGTCCATCCCGCCTGACCGGGTCCATTGAACTCAACTCGGCCGTCCCCCTGCTATCACGTCCCTCCTTTCGCCCTCGTCCGCTGAGTGCGTAGCTTCTGTTGTAGTCGGCTGTTGATCGTCTTGGTCTTTCAATTATGGGCTTGGATGGTGGATTAGTTGTGGTTGCTGTAGATTGCGTTGTTGGTGTCGGTGTGGGAGTTACTGATATGCAAGGTGGGTCTTTTTGCGTCGGCATTTGTAGTGTTAATGCAGCTGTCAGTGTTGCTCGCGGTCTGCCACTTAAAATTCACACTTGTAAATTTCACTGTTGTTGCTCTTAGTGTTATTTCTCTAACTTAGATTTTCTATAATAGTTCAATTTTTGTTTCAGTGTCCTTTAGTACAACGACGATTCCTGATGAGTGTTGTACGAAAACTTGTTTGAATCCATATTTTTCCCTACTCCATTTCTTCATATTTTCATCGTTTTATTGCACATCGTCTCCACCGTTTTTTACATGGTGGCACTTGGGTCTTTTTCCCTCCCCCAGTGGGCCAACCACGGTCAGTTTCTGGAAACTACCAGAGGTGAAAGAAAGTGATTAAATTTGGAAAGGATTGGGAGAACTTCATATTCAAAGGATCAGTCGGGGAAGTGAACTGCCTGAAAAGAGAAAAAAACGCCAGACCCACCAGGACTCGAACCTGGGACCCTGCTTGTCATGAGCAATGCTCTTACCACTGAGCCATGGGACCAGGCTGAACCCAGAAGGCGCCGACAAGTTTTTCACTCCAAAGGCAGCTCACAACACGTGCCACACACACTGATGGCACTTGGGTCTTTTTCCCTCCCCCAGGGGGCCAACCACGGTCAGTTTCTGGAAACTACCAGAGGTGAAAGAAAGTGATTAAATTAGGAAAGGATTGGGAGAACTTCATATTCAAAGGATCAGTCGGGGAAGTGAACTGCCTGAAAAGAGAAAAAAAGACCCAAGTGCCATCAGTGTGTGTGGCACGTGTTGTGGGCTGCCTTTGGAGTGAAAAACTTGTCGGCACCTTCTGGGTTCAGCCTGGTCCCATGGCTCAGTGGTTAGAGCATTGCTCATGACAAGCAGGGTCCCAGGTTCGAGTCCTGGTGGGTCTGGCGTTTTTTTCTCTTTTCAGGCAGTTCACTTCCCCGACTGATCCTTTGAATATGAAGTTCTCCCAATCCTTTCCAAATTTAATCACTTTCTTTCACCTCTGGTAGTTTCCAGAAACTGACCGTGGTTGGTCCCCTGGGGGAGGGAAAAAGACCCAAGTGCCATCAGTGTGTATGGCACGTGTTGTGAGCTGCCTTTGGAGTGAAAAACTTGTCGGCGCCTTCTGGGTTCAGCCTGGTCCCATGGCTCAGTGGTTAGAGCATTGCTCATGACAAGCAGGGTCCCAGGTTCGAGTCCTGGTGGGTCTGGCGTTTTTTTCTCTTTTCAGGCAGTTCACTTCCCCGACTGATCCTTTGAATATGAAGTTCTCCCAATCCTTTCCAAATTTAATCACTTTCTTTCACCTCTGGTAGTTTCCAGAAACTGACCGTGGTTGGTCCCCTGGGGGAGGGAAAAAGACCCAAGTGCCATCAGTGTGTGTGGCACGTGTTGTGAGCTGCCTTTGGAGTGAAAAACTTGTCGGCGCCTTCTGGGTTCAGCCTGGTCCCATGGCTCAGTGGTTAGAGCATTGCTCATGACAAGCAGGGTCCCAGGTTCGAGTCCTGGTGGGTCTGGCGTTTTTTTCTCTTTTCAGGCAGTTCACTTCCCCGACTGATCCTTTGAATATGAAGTTCTCCCAATCCTTTCCAAATAATAATAATAATAATGACTATCCACAAGTAGTTAGTTGCGCCCATCGCCGCCCAACCAAAGCTGTTGCAAAAATTTGCAACAAGGATTTGCAAGGAGGAAACTGTTTTGTCGATAAAGAAATGGAGCAGAATTCGAGGAATTGCCCGCCATAAGGTTTGTATGGTTCTGTCAATTTCACTGCTTTTCGAGCAGAATCCGCCGGTCCCCAACTGGACCACTAAGTATTGCACTGTAAGCATCTCGTTAACGTAATGTCGACATGTATGTGTGAAAGAGGAAACGATGATCGTAAGGAACACAACGAAAGGGAAAGAGAGAATTTGTTCATAACTTTTGTCTTCTTAGAAGTTGCGACTTGGGCGGTATTAGTCATGCAGTTGGTTTCTCCAACGAGGTACACACGCTTCTTGCCGAGCTTGACACTCGACTGACTCACGACTGCCATCCGGAGCACACCAGGAGCACGTCGCACCTTCCACTCGGCAAACCTGAAAGAAAGCACCACTCCCTGCTCAATACACAATGTTTCTCTGCTCCAAATTTGTTTGCACGAGCATCAGCATGCACACCCAGCTCTATTACACACAGCAGCCATTTGAACATGCGGTGAATGCACTACCAAAAAGCTTGCAAACGCACACGCATACACACACACACCTCTTTGTATATACTGCTGCTATTGCTGATATTATATATATATATATATCACTAGATGAATCACAACCTCCTGTTTTAGTCCCACCCACCACCTCAAAATATTCCTGCACCCCTTGCCTATAGCGCACACCTTCTGTCACATCTTCCTTCCACGCATACCAAT